CAATAATGAAAATAAGTTAGATGTAGATATAATAAAATCCTTAAATAAATTGGGTACAACACATTATAATGTAGTTGTAAGCAGATATTTATCTAATATCTTTATGTATTTAATATTTTTCCTGATGCTTCTTCCTAAGGCTTTGTTGGGACTTCACCATCCACAGACTTCTCTTCAAGGATGATGAAAGGGGGGGGTCCTGTTGGGCGGAATGGGTTGATGTTAGAACTTGTGTTGTGATACCGTTTTCTTTTCACTCTCTGCGAGGCCATGTTGCAACCTTTTCATTTGCTTCTGCAGTTCCTAAAATAAAGCCGATAGACGACAGGACCTGCGTTCTCCTCCTCGATAGCTAGGTGACGGCGCACAGCTGGCTAGTTAGCTGCACAAGTTTAGGACAGGGTTAGGCCAGCTCCTCTCATCCAAACCAGCGGAGCGCTACATTATCTATTAGTAATAATAAATTATCAAGCAAGTTATTTTCATATATTTTGATTATAAACCATGTCTGATACAGGTCCATGTCACTTAGTTGTGCATACAAATGCTTGATTGATATTTAAAAAATGTTTTAATTCTTACTAAAATCAGTTCCCATGACCGACAGATTATCAAAGTTACTTAGTTTGACTTTATTAAACACATTTACATGTTATTGTTTCATACTGCATGTTTAACTTAATCACTTTTATTGGCCAAGTATGTTACACACACAAACAATTTGTCTCCTGTACAATTGGTAGCCATCTGTGGCACCAACTCACACACAAACTGATGGCAGGGTTCAGTGTCATGCCCAAGGACACTTAGACATGCGAACTGGCAATGGGCATCGAACCGCAGACCTTCTGGTTATGGGATGACTGCTCTAATCCCAAGCCACAGCCTACACTCAGTTGTAGCTTAGCATCAGCTGCACACAGTATACAGCATGCCAGCAGTAACTGATTACTAATCAATACCTGATCAGCACAGAGGGCAGCTCTGTACTGCTTTCAAAGAACCAGTGTGATCGCAATGAAGACAGAGGGGCTGTCTTTTTTTAATCTCTGAAATAACCAGTCTCTAAATCTTCCAGAACACTCATTTCATTCAGCTCTGTTTGATAATCAAAAAGATAATCACTATTTTCAAGATCAATATCGGTCAATAAACAATGCTGCTGTTTGTTTCAGATGTTTAAATAAGTTTTTCAACAGTAGAACCTCTCTATCAACCCCTTCAGGTCTGTACACAATAGCTTTTGCTGCAGGACTGTGTCCTTATGTGTGTGCTGAGAAACATCTAGAACTTTGCGTTGGAACAGAGGTTTTACAGCTCAACATCAGAAGTCTTTCTAAGTTCTCATCAAGGAAATGATCCAGAAACTGGATTGTTGAACAACCTAACAGAGGCGTATGTGATGTAGTAAATCTAGAACCCTGCTTTGGAACATTTTGGTGATACAGAACTTTCTGTTGGACTGAGGGTTCAAGAGCTCAGTGTAAATAACGATTCAATAACTGTTTATTAAAAGTTCCCAGCACAAAAGACCGTGGTAATTTTCTACAAGACGGAGAAGGGGTTCTACAGGGTCCATAGGACAGAGGCAGTGTATCAGAACCCAGCAAAGTAAAGAGAACAGATCTCCGTTTAAAATATTTCTGAACTCAATGAGAACTTCTGAGGATTCAGAAATACATTTATGAACGCGAGTCTTCTAGAAGCCAGAGCTGCAGGGAATGCTGGACCTTGACACAGAAACTGGTTGGACAACTGATGAAGAACATCTAGAACACTGAATCTAGAATATTCCTTTGGAGGGTTCCCTTCATATAAACTCTGTAAGGTCAGAGCTAAAGTGAAGGTTCTAGAACAACAAGTAAAAGGTTTGCTTGAACAAGTGTGATAACATAACTCCAGAGGGAAGGGTCTAAGAATTCAGCCAGTTAGAGGGCTCTAAACCTCGTAGATGGAGACCAGGTGAAATATAATTTCAGATAAGGTTCTTGAAACACTGGAGGGTTTGGTCATAGTAAGAGTTACAACATAAACCAAAAATCCAACAGAGTGTTCTAGATTGCAATAGGGTGAAGAGTTGCTGTTGGTGCAGAATGCCAAGAAATAGGTTCTTATTGAGCTCTTGATGTTTATTATAAGTCAGGAGGTTCTAGACCTTATGGATGGAGGCTATGTGACTGTAAAAACCTCTATAAGCATGACTCTAGACCTATGTAGGAGGTTTGGGTCATCGTTTGGGATGGTGGTAGGACCCAAATATGCAACAGAACAGGAATTTTATGACGTGAAGATCTGGTGTTTTGTGCAGAATTCCAGAGAGAAGATGCAAAGCTCTCAATATTTATTCAGGAAATTAGTGAGGAGGTTGGAGACCCTATGATTGATTGTGATGCAGAACTCCAGACAGACATTATCTTAAACACGACTGTGATGGGTCTGTGTTTGCCGTGCAGTAGAACCCAGATGTCCATTAGAACACTCTAGAAAGGCATTGCCCCAGAAATCTGGCGGGCCACCTGCTCGTCCTGGCTCTCCTCCTTGTCCTTCCTCTCCCGATTCCAGTCCTTCAGACCTTCTGGCAGTGTTGTGTCCTCATCCTCACCTCCAGTTCCCTCCACAAACTCTTCATATGTTGACTTCTCTGCGAATGGCCGTTTTCCCAGCAGCTCGACCATGTCGTTCTTATCTATAACCTCCTTCTCCAGCAGCCGCAGCGCCACCTAGAAAACACCACAAAAACGCAAAGAACAAGGTCAAATCTCTGTTCAAAGCAAGTCTATTTACTGTTACCCAAGATCCTGATATGGAGTCATGGTTTTAGAGTTTGTAGAGTTCTCAGCACAGCAGTGTTCAGAAACTCAAAGGGAGGGTTCTATTTGTCAGATCTGGTTTTAGGTTGTGGGGAAGAGATTTGCCGTTATAAAACAAGATCAGAGAACAGAAATGTGTGTTGTGAATGGCCTGGCTGCTTTGAAGCATGGTTCTAGGCAAATATCAGGTTCTTTATGCCAGAGCTGTTTCTAGTTTATGACAAAAATGTGTTATAATAGTAGATTACAGACCACCAGTTTTAGACCTCAGTGTTTACTGTGAATGGCCTAGATGGTGAACCTTGTTTCTAAGCAGCATTCTCAATCTGAGTGAAAGCTTTAGAGCTTCAGATCACAAGTCTCTCAGCACAAAAATATTCTACACCTCAATAAAACATTTTAACAAAAAGCACACAACAATGAGAAAACTCTACAAACATACTCTGAGTGACCGAGAACCTTTTGTTGTAAAAAAGGTTTTAACATGGAAAGAGAGAGTTCTCCGCACAAACTTTCAAGAACTCAAATGTCAGGGGTCAATGTTAGTTGGGGTTCTGGGTGATGCGAAAAGGACTGTTGTAGTTATACATTTTTATAAGCATGTGTGAGACTGCGTGTGCTATCAATGACCTAGAACTCATTTTGTAGAAACACAATCCTGCAAAAAGGTTTAGAAGAGAATTCCTACAGTTTTCTGAAGGCAAAGTAAAACCCTGTCTCACATCTCTTGTAACCTGTTATCTCTGAGGACAGTGCAGAGGTGGTCTAGATCACTGGTACCTTCTCGACCTCTGCCTTCTTGTCGCTCAGCAGTTGGTGGGTTCTCTGGTAGGCTTCACTGATGAGGGTTCTGACCTCTGTGTCGATGAGGCGAGCTGTAGCTTCGCTGTATGGTTTCTCCAGAACCATCTCACCCTGCCGGGGCACATCGAAGGACACCTGACCCACCTTTGCATTCATCCCAAACTGCACGATCTGCAGTAAAACACAGAAACCAGGAGTTATACAGGAACCTAATCAGGCCCCACAACACAGACTCCTGGAACACAAACTACGACAGGATTAGTTTTCATCTGGATCATGTGATTCCTGTTTACATAGTTACAAGTTGGCTGCAGCTAACAATAATTTGGATTGTTAATAAATCTGCAGATTATTTTCCTGATTAGTTGATGAGTTGTTTGGTTTATTAAATGTCTCAAAGGCCAAGGTGATGTCTTCAAATGTGTTGTTTAGACTAAAATATGAATATTTAAACTCGACCTGGATGAGTAACAGAACCCCATGAACAGATTAATCAATTAAAAAATTATTAATATAAGAGGTGTGATACTGCAGACCTCAGATCCTTTGTCATCTCTGACCTGTGCATAGGCGCTCTGGGTGACCTTTCGGAGGTCATCCTGAGCTCCGGTGGTGATCCGTCCAAAAAAGATCTCCTCAGAGACCCGCCCCCCCAGAGTCATACACATCCGGTCCAGAAGCTGCTCTTTGGTGTACAGGTACTGCTCTTTGGGCAGGTACTGAGCGTAGCCCAGACCCTTCCCTCTGGGGATAATGGACACCTGCACAGGTGACAACACAATCTTGTGCTGAAATAAACTGTAGTCAGTGTGACACTGTTGGTCTGGTGCACAACCATGAACACAGGGATTTGTCAAAGCAAATGTTTACATGCGATATGATAAATATGCACACTCAGTTGCCAGTTTATTAGCTAGACCAAATTGTTTGGCCTAGCCTCACTGATGTCAATGGAGTAGAAAACATATATACAGATACTGTGTATTCTTGTTATTAGTGCTTTACACAATAATGGCATCATATGAGCAGAGACATGGTGCCAAAATAACCTGCATGTTGCTGGAATAAAAGGTGAAGACCTGGACCTGACAGTAAAATACTGAGCACAGTGAAGCTAGTAAAAACCACACACGGGTTTCTAGACAGAGACTGAAAAAGAACAGCTCTGCTCGGTTTGATCTGCCATTAGTCTTATGAAGAATATTAACCTGAAAACTAAACAACATGGTTTTTCAGGCTCGAGCTGTGACTGCCGGTTTTTGACCTTGAGCAACAAGAGCCTGAGACTGCCTGCTTCACAGAGACTAGTCTGAGACAATGAGGGTGACTTGTCCCCTCAGCAGAGCAACACTGTCATTTCAACTGAATGTAACCTTGAGCAGAGGGTCAGCGTGCTCCAGGAACCATCCAGCCACAGCGTGACCTGCTTCGTGATATGCCACCGTCTTCTTCTCCTCCGGCTGCAGGACCTGAGTCTTCTTCTCCAAACCTCAAGGACAGGAAGATGGAATTATTTAAAAAAGCTTTCAAAGTTAAAGCTGAGTCCTGAGTCCACACATTGAAACTTACTGAAAGCAGCAGAAAACCTGAACTTGAAAAACACGTCGGACTTCATTTCAAAGAAGTTACAACCACAGTCTGACTATTTCACACAGGGTCAAGTACTAAGTGTCCTGGTGCCAGACCAGTCTGAGTGTTTCTGTATGTGATGGTCCAGTAGGGGTGTCCAATACTGGAAAAAAAAGTAGATCTGGATATTTTGGGGATTTTGTTGATGACAAAAAGCAGACTATATTTTGCATCCTTCAAAAATGTACTAGCTTACTCTTACCGATTGCTGTCAATTGATTAAAATATTGAATCTAGATTAATCACAATTGTCCACAATTAAATTGCACATTTGTTTTATCTAAACAGTGGTGGAAAGTAACTAAGTATATTTACTGAAGTACTGTACTTAAGTACAATTTTGAATTGTCTGTACTTGCGTATTTCCATTTTCTGTTACTTCAAACTTTGACTTCACTACATTCTATTGTACTTTTTACTCCATTTGATTGAATTTGTAACTTAAGTTACTAGTTACTGTTCAAACCAGATTAATATGAAAAAAATACAATGGACCAGAGTCAGCAGTCCACCTTCACCTGAAGGACAAAGGACATTCTTTTGATGACAGTGAAGTCCAGATCCTCTCCAGAGAACATCGCTGGTTTGAGAGAGGAGTCAAGGAAGCCATTTTTGTCCAAATAGAAGACCTTTCACTAAATATGGGTGGGGGACTCAGACACAACTTGTCATCCATCTACAACTGTTTTGAGATCTCTGCCCAAACATTTCCACCCTAATTCACACCAGGACCATAGGCATCGGTCCACAAGTGAGGGTTCAAAGACAGGTAACGACTCACCAATAACAGACCCTAACCACTCAGTTGTTAGAGGACATTGTAGGATGTGGAAGGACTGAAACACCACCCAGTGGGATAAATTCCTCCTGCCCACCACCAGTCAGACAGAACTGATGAAGCCTCTTGGATGAGACGTGAAACATCTGCTACCTAAAACTATATCCAGATGCCTTCTGCTAAGTTTTTTCAGCATGCTACGACCTGGATGACAGTTTACGTGGACATATGAAAAAAAACAACATAATTATCAGACCTCATTAATCTGTGGTGAAACATTCACAAGCTACCCAACAGTAATTCAAATTAAATACATATAAGCTTGTTAAAACTTGCCCCGTCAAATCATCCGACAATTCTTTGCCCTTTCTTTTCTCCATGCTCAGTGTGGTCCACACAACACAAAGGCTGAGTCAACCTTTCTCCATTTTAACTGGTTTCAAATGTGATTTCTATATTGCCAGCACCCGTTGACTGCTACAGGTGAGTTTCATTACAAATTAAAGGAGCATCACAGGCTTGAAATACAAGTATTTCTGATGAGTTTGAAAAGGTGTCAATAATTGTCCAGTCCATTTCTGGAGTTCTGTGTGGAATGTGTCAGATTTGGCTTTTTTCCTGCCTTTGTGTGCTGTTCCAATGCAAACAAAGAAATAAACATGAGAATACCAAAGAACTGCTGGGGTGCCAATATTTTTGGCCAAGACTGTATATCACACACCCCTATGGTCCAGTCCTCAGTCTTGCCAGTCTTTTGAGTCACTCTCAGTCCTCTGAGTCCGTCTCAGGCTGGTCTCAGTCCTCTCCGTTTGGGCTCAGCCCACTCTTACCTCCAATGACTCTCTCGATGGCCTGTTCAAAGTGTTTCTGGTTGATGGCATCTGAAAGGTGGCGAGCGGCAATCAGAGCTGCCTCATTACACACATTAGCGATGTCAGCACCTGACAAATAACAAGAAGATTAAACCCAGAGGTAAGGGTGAGGTTTGCTGGAGGACAAACGAAATCCAACTTTACCTGAGAACCCAGGAGTGAGGGCGGCCATCTTCTTGGCTAGAGCATCTTTGTCTATGTCAGCCCCCAGCTTCAGAGGACGCAGGTGAACTTTAAAGATGGATGCTCGTCCTTTGATGTCAGGGGGACCTGAGACACCAGAACACAGACTGTGATGACCAGGAGAATGTTGGTGTTATTACAGGTCTGATTTGACAGACAGAAAACCACCAGCATCCAGAAGAATCTGACAAGAAGGTTAAGGACTTCATTATCTGTTTTACAGGGTGAACACTGTGAAAATGTTTCCTCATCTGTTAAAAAATAAGATGTCACCCTTTGTCCTCATATATTAATTCACCCATCACACAAAAGTGTCCTTCATTTTGCTGAGATAGCAGGACAATCCAGCCGGCTATCTCAGAAAAAATGTTTTCACAAAACAGAGGGTTGGTCTCTTTGTTTCGAGAAAAGAAAATTAACCCATTAGCTAAAAGAAAATGTTAAAAAAAAAAAAAATGCAATCAGCCAGTGTTCATTATACCGAGGGTAATAACCCATTATCTGCTTTGCACTGAGGTTACCTGGCAATTAACTGTGGATCTGAAGAAAATGGGATAAAAATAAACTCCTGATCACCAGATGAAAAAACTGAAACCCTGTTGTCCTGGTGGAGACATAAAAACCTCACTTCAATTACAGAAGTCATCCCGTGAGTTTCTCACCGATATAAATCTGCCGGTCAAAGCGTCCAGGCCTCAGCAGGGCCGGATCCAGAATGTCCGGTCTGTTAGTTCCTGCCAGAACCACAACATTGGTCGCTGTGTTGAAGCCTAAAAAACAAAAAAAAAAAAACAAAAAACAAAATAGTGAGGAGTGAGACCCCGTCACTTCACTCTCATCAATGAAGTTAGGAACCCAAATAACACAGAAACTACTCCTTTACCTTTACTTTAAAAAAAAAGGCAGCATTACTTCATTAAGGCACAGATTAGAGATGTTTTCAATAGCTAAACCAAACGATTTCTACATTTGTGAAGGAGGCCTGAAATCTGCACCATAACTCAAATATTAAAGCTGGGACTGGGCCGAACTGGGGCCAGTTTACTGCTCTGAATATCTGTATGTGAAACTGTGTTGCACACAGAAGATCACACTACTGCTGAAGACCGACACCCAGAGATCCGTCAGACAGTCCCCCTTCAGTTGAACCACAGCTCTGACATACATTGCAGATGTCCCATGATTTCCGGCACCCACCATCCATCTCCACCAGAAGCTGGTTCAGCGTGTTCTCCTGCTCGCTCTGTCCTCCAAAATTTCCTCGTCCTCGCTTCCGTCCTACAGCGTCGATCTCGTCGATGAAGAGGATGCAGGGAGCATTCTTCCTCGCCATGACAAACAGATCCCTCACCTGCACAGGAAGTGACGACATCAGAGAAAGGGTGTTGCAGTCAGATGTGAGGGCAGATGCAGCCCAGCAGGTGTGAGGTAAGCTTAACTTAGCTTTTAATATAAAGGGACTGTGCTATTGAGATTAAAAAGATATTTCACTAAAAATGAGAAGTTAAAATAAAAACAGCAACATCTAGAATCAATTTATCAGTAAATAACAAACATGAGAAAGCTGAAGAAACGCGACGAAGTGAGGGTTTGTGGTTAAGGTGTTTATGGGTCCAATCGGGTCTTCACCAGAGACCCCACTCGGGTGAAGACCCGTAGCTTGTGGTCTCATAATTTGAGTAAATCAAAATGTTTCATGAACAGTTTTGAGAACACATAAATCACCCGTTGTCCTGTTTAATCAGTGTGTGAACATTAAATCTGAGTCATTGCATTGAGTGTATTTTTGTGTTCTTAGTGTTTGTTTGAATCATCGCCTGAAGCTGCTCCTCACCCGGGCTGGGCCGACGCCCACAAACATCTCCAGGAACTCTGAGCCATTAACAGTGATGAATGGCACGTTGGCTTCCCCGGCTGTCGCTTTGGCCAGGAGAGTCTTTCCTGTTCCTGGAGGACCGGTCAGGATGGCGCCCTGCACACACAAAGTATACAAGCATTAACATAAAATATTAATATAAAATACCCACTGATACACACAGAGGACCTCAGATTTTAACTGCTGAAGACCTGCTCTGGACCTTACTGGGACACATTGTTAATGTGGACATTGAGACACTTCTCCACCTCTGGAATGTTGCTCCCACAACCCCTCGGGGATCTGCCTCACCTCACAAATGTCCCTACCATAGAAATCTCAGCCCCTCCCCCATCATGGAGCTCTTGCCCCCTCCCTCACCTTGGGGATCTTGGCACCCAGGTCCTGGTACTGTTTGGGATTCTTCAGGAAGTTGACGAACTCCATGATCTCCAGTTTAGCCTCCTCACAGCCTGCTACATCTTTGAACTTCACATCGATCTCATCTTTCAAGATTTTCGCTGTCGTCTCGCTGACACTGAACAGACCCCCCATCCCCCGGCCAGGACGCCCCGCCCCCGCTTGACCGCGCCGCAGCATGAGCAGCAGGAAGCCAATGATGAGTACCGTGGGGAACATGCTCAGTAGAAAAGAGCTGGAGAGAACATGTGAACATCAGGGTAGAAAAGTAGAAACCGGACCACATGTAAACCTGGACTGATGCTGGTTCTCACCCATCGCTCTCAGTGGAATAAACCACCGGCAGTCTGTTCTCTCCCTCAATGCCGAGCTCATACTGAGCTGTCTCCAGGTTCCTCTCAAACGTGTCCACGCTGCCAATGTTAAACCACACATACTTCTGAAAGACACAAAGAGAAAGACTGAATCTGCTGCTTCACTTTATACTGGTTTACTGGCAGGGCCTGAATTCAGCAGTCACGGCAGCGACAGTGTTCACACCCTTGTCTTTCAAAGCCCATTATCAAGTCATTAACACATGCACAAATTATTTCCTTTTCTGAAGATTAACTAACATTACAACCACAAATGTATGAGCTGTACACCACAACTCTTGTGTGTTTATCGTGTATAGATCAATAGCCAGAAGAATCCAAGAGGTCAAAGTGAAAATAACTTCTTTCCGACATGGTCCCAAGGTGAGTCTGTCACTCACCCCATCCACAGGTGTCTTCCCTGTCGAGAAAACCACTTTGACATAACGCTTGTTGATAACTTCTAACCGATCCACCTGAGGAGGAACAGTGGACAGAGGTTTCCTGAGTGGGTCGGTACTAACACAAAGAGAAATAAAAGGAGAAATTTAATTTTCTCCTCACCACTCCTTTGGACAGGTAGTTGTTGACAAAGTCCTTCCAGGTGACCTCGCGCCCTCCGTCCCTTAAGAAGTAATAAGTGACAACGGTCCAGAACGCCACTCCACTCCAGAAGAATATGTGAAACTCTTTATCGTCCCAGGGAATGTCACCCTGAAAAAAATACAACCTGAGGTCAGGCCACCTGTGTGACCAGGTGAGCACAGGTACCATCTGTCAGACTCTTTCCACACTGACCTTCTGCAGGCGGCTGTACCAGTGCGAGTCCTCCTTACGACCTCCTCTTTTTCCTCCTCCTCCTCCTCCTCCTCCTTCGGCTCCTCCTCCTCCTGACTGCCCAGAAGCTCTTTGAGCATTGGCAGGTTTGGCCTCTGAAAAACAAACAGCATCTCTAAGAATAAAGTAACGATCAGAAAACACATGAATTAAAACACACTAGACTGGTGTCGACATCACCACTTGCCTAAAGGTTCAGCAAATACAGCACAGAAAACAGATGCATGGTACAAGCATTAAATCACGACTTCACTCGGTAAACACATGGACGTACCATCCTCCCACGATTATCTGCCAATCAGATGTCAATCAAATGACTTAAACTGCGATCAGGTTTGTTTACATTAAATATGCCATGTACTCCTGAGGAAAATGTTGCATTAATGCTAAAAGTCTTCACTTATAAGAACAAACAAACTAAGAATCTACAAGAAACAGGAAGTATGTTGTCATGAATTAACTGGGTTACACTGTGAGCTGCAATGCAAGCAGATTTACCTCACCAAATTTCTTAGCCTCTTTCATCTGTCAAGGTGGGCCTTTGAGCAAAAAAAGTCAGGAGACCCTGGTAGTAGGTGTCATTACAGCAACCCTTTTTGGTTGACCTGGATCATTTGTTTGAGGCTGGAAAGGTTTCAGTCACAGGTTTGTCTGCAGACAGTGTCAGTAGAATTAAGTTGAAGTCAGTAGGTTTCTACCTTTATTTCCTGCTTCAGCTTCAGAGTTTTTTGGAGTTTTCTGACCATCTGGAAAATATTTTTCAAAACCTGAAGAGAAAAAAAACAAAACAAACACACATTGTACTGAACTAGGTTTGGACATTTCAAACTAAAATATTAGGGATGCACAAAAGTCGATACCAGTATCAGGTACCAGGACCAAGAACACCCTCTAATATTCTCCTGGTACCACAGATACCAATTGATGACAGCATTACATTAACCTCACGCTGGCTGAGCCAGTCGTCAGGTGGCAGAGAAGGAATTTCAGCAGTTTGAGGACATTTTAAGATAAGTGACGATGACAAAAGTAAAGTCGACTGCGTGCTCAGCTTCTCTGCTGTGTGCACGCACGCCACTCTTCACTCCTCGCGACCACAATGCCTGGTCCCGTTCACCCCTCTAAAACCACCACGGTGCCCATTATGCTAATTGTTGTGGACTGCTGTGAATGGGAAGAAGACAAATGCCGACCTAATGTAGTTACCAGCGGAGTCTAATGAGCTGTGTGTATGAAAACGGGTTGGATCCTTGTGGACATGGAGGCTGAGACCAGCGAGCTCTGCAGCAGAGCAGCTGTGAGTCCAGCAGAGAGGACTGGATGAAGCCACAGGAAGCAGCCGCTTTAACTTTAGAGCTCCAGCCTCATTAAACATTACAATCTCTGGCTCTGATAACATGCACTCCTAAACTCTGACAGTCTGGTCTGTGAAACCGTTGCACCCGAGCACAGGGTCACGCTCCTACTGAGGCTAAACTCCACTGTTGTGTAGCAGGCTGCAGACATTCAGTCAGGTACACGATACTCAGTAGGAACGGTGGCAGTGCTGTTTGTTATCACAGGAAGTTTTCAGGTAATTTACACAGCCTCCTGGTACACAGGATATTCTGTTTAATCACTATCTGAAAGCAAATCTCATGAAATTAAACTGTTTCTAAAGCTACTGCACTTTTTAGGGCTGGGCGATTGGCCCAAAATTCATATCCTGGTATAATTTTTACGTGTCATGATATACCTCTTACATCCCGGTATTTCCTTGTACACAATGTTCAGTTAAATTCAAAGTCAAAAGGCATATGTGATATTATAAGAATGTTTATTAACAGTTTTAGAACTGAACATTTTAGAGCTAAGACGCTAAGCTTTTCTTGTTTTTAAACACTCACTGGTGTAAATGTCACCGTTAAATAAATAAAAGACAAAATTAAGTCCACAGCTGTACAAATAAACAATTTTGAATAATTAGGAAAATAAATATTCAGCTATTAATGTCAATAAAATAAACTGAAAGGGGATGTCTTAACCCTTTTAACAACATAAAGAAAAAGAATCTTCTCATTAATAAATGACTGAATTTACAGTCATTTATGGTTTAATCTGTTTGACAGCCTTAATTCATATTTTGTATGTAACTCTGTATGACAAAAATGATTAAACCTCTAAAATAATGTTCTAAAATGGAAATGTCAGAAAAAGTATCTTTTTACTTGAATGGTGAGCAGAAAATCTATTAGAAGACTACAAAATGTTAAGATATACTCCCATATTTGTGTATGTTGTTTAATGTTGCTGCGCACCCCATAAACACAGTCAAGCCAAAAATCCATTAGACCACCACTCATCAACAGCCAGATGAAGACGGTGACCAAAGCACTGCATCCTCCACCACCCATTCATTTCCACTGCTTTGACGATGTTGGCTCCGTTGTCCGTTGTAACAGCAACTCGTCGCTTTTCTTTCAGCTTCCAGCCCAAG